GGGGGGGGAGGAGGAGGAGGAGGAGGAGGAGGAGGAGGAGGAGGAACTGGAAAGGAGGAAGAGGAGGAGGAGGAACAAAGAACGGGAGGAGGAGGAGGTAGGAGGAGGAGGAAGGAGGGGGGAAGAGGAGAGGGGGAAGAGGACGGAGGAGGAGGAGGAGGAGGAGCAGCAACAAAAGGAGGAGGAGGAGGAACCGCAGGAGGAGGACGAGGGAGGAGGAGCAAGAGGCGGAAGAGAAGGAGGAAGAGGAGGATGATTGAGAGGATGTCGAGGAGGAGGATGATGAGGAGGCGGAGGAGGATCATTACGAGGAGCGGTGCGGGGATGATGATGATGATGTTGATGATGTTGATGATGATGATTATGATGATGATGGCGATGATGAGGAGGATGAAAAACGCGATAGAAAAAAAAAAAAACAGAAACACAACAATCTGGTTATTCCAAACGTTTCGCGCACTCCGACGCCCGATAGCCCTGGAAAGTTTGGCCCCCAACGATTAGCCACATCACAACAGCAAAAAAACAACAATCACATGTGCACCAAATCTGCACCAACATAGCAACAACACTGCAACAAAACTGCAACACAACTGCAACGACACTGCAACACAACTGCAACACAAATGTAACGATATAAACACAATTGTTGAACGATTTGCTGATAAACATAGCCCCGACAAAAGTTATCATACAACCAAAAAGTTATCATTCTGACACACAAAAGTTGTCAGACGCACGAGCAAAACTTAACAGCGATAACTTGCCCTGGTTTGTTAACTTTGCGGCGTTGTGCCGTTTTGTTATTTTTTTTGCGGTTTTGTTAACTTCCCGGCATTTTGATAACATTCTCATGTTTTTAACCTTCTATATAAATATGACAACTTTTAGTCTCATCTGATCTATAGAGTTGGGCCCCTCGAGGACAGCATATTCGAACCCTTACACGTTCGAGGGAGATTATGAATCACCCCCGCGCCCCCGACATCCATGCTGATATCAGTAACGGCGGTGCCCTGGGGGTCGAATACTTCTGTCCACGCACGCCCCCCCCCCGTCGCCACGCCATCAATATTCATTTCGGTGGGTCTGGGGGGCATCCTGGGCCGCAGGGTTGAGCCTCATGTCCGTGCACGGGAGGTCCGCAGAGCGCTGGCGGCTCGGGTGCCCTGCGCGCGGGGCCGCCTCTACAGGCCCTGAGATGTCCGGGCGACCCCGCTCTGCCGAGCCGGGCGTCTGCGCCCGGTTTCGGTCCCCGGGGCCCTCAGATGGATCCGGCCCGAACAACAGAGGAGGAAGAGGTACCCATACCTCTACCCTTTGCCCGTTTTTCCCTTTTTGGACCTCTTGGGCTGCCCTCGTCACCACCGCTGGATTCGCCTCGAAGTTCTGGTCAGACCGCACCCCGGGAGAGGTCCGGGGAGCAGCGGTATCGGCACAATGTGGTTTCCCCAGAAAAATGACTCAGAGAGATGGGGTCCGGGGTTCCTGTCGTGATTTATCACGACGTCTCAGTTTTGTTCGAGGGCTCGGATCTCAAGGGAGACGGGGGCGCGCGAGCGTGGGGGCTGCAGGAAGTCCCGTCCAGCTGCTCACCGCTCCCGTTTCGGGCCCGACCTCGTCTAAGGTACTCGCGAGTCATGTGCATACCGACGTCGAGAGGGTCGCGAGCATTAAATAGTGCACTTGCATGTTTCGTGACTCGCTGGGGGCCGGTCTCACATATTTTCTGATGGTTTTGGATTTGGTGCCAAATTTGCGCTGCACATTGACAGGCAGCCTTTGTGTACTCCGTCAGCCTCAAGCCAGCGTTGCGGCGACGCTGGTGAGGGCCTTCGCTGCACAAGGCTCTCCTCGGAGCAAGCACCGAACCTCGGAGGGGGGGGATGGGATCCAGACGCCGCCCGCCGCGGCACTCACTGCTGGCGCGTGTGCTGCTGCTCGCCGCATGGGAGGTGGCACCCGCCACAGCAGCTGCCCTGGATGCGGCTGCGCCGGCGGCGCCAGCGACGAAGGCGCGCGGGGGCACCCCCTCGACAGACGCGGCTGCGGGCATCTTCACGGCGACCACGGCCTCGCTCTCGACCGCCAGAGCGCTTCCGTCGGCAGGGCCCGCGACGGCGGCCGCGCGGACGGCTCGGCCGCTGGACCGGAGGCTTACCTTCAACAACTACAACGACGGCTACTCCTTCCTGCCCGCCAGCATGACCTGCGAAGAGGTCGGGCTCCCCGACGTGGAGAGCTCGGATGAATGCGAGGCCGCGATGGCTACAGCAGATCTGTCGGTTTCGTTCACTGCAGTTCCCGCAAATCTAGGCTTCAGCTGTGTCTACAACACAGAGTCAAATGTTGTTCTCTATTCCCAGTCCACCGGCTCTCTGACACAGCCGAACGCGGATTATAGGTACCTCTGCCCAGGCAATTACACGAGCACAGTTACCTCTTCAACGACCGAGACCGCGACGTCGGCGACCACGACGTCGGCGACCGCGACGTCCGCGACCGTGACGTCTGGGCCCGGCTTCTCGCTTCTGCCGCTGGGCTGGACGTGTCCCGACGCGGGGCTGCCAGACATCCCGAGCCAGGACAATTGCTTCAGCACCGCAGCACCTGAGCTCGATGTGACTTCCAGTCAACAGATCTTCGTCGCGGGCACCGCGTCCGGGCTCAGCTGCGTCTATGACGTCAATTTGAACATTCTGTTTTTCGGGGAATCGACGGGCAGCGAGACCGAGGGCGATCCCGACTACCAATTTATTTGCCTCGGGGAATACACGACTACGGAAACTTCCACTGTGACCTCGACCACCACTGCGAGCACAACTAGCGGGACCTCTAGCACGACGCGGTCCACGACATCTGAAAGTTCAAGCACCAGTATGAGCACAACCAGCGAAAGTTCTAGCACGACAGGGTCGACAACCACGGCAAGTTCAAGCACTACCGTGTCTACAACTGAGAGTTCCAGCACCACTGTGAGTTCAAGCACAACCATGTCCACGACCTCTGGAAGTTCCAGCAATACCAAGTCAACGACGACTGCGAGCTCCTCCACAAGCTTAAGTACAACAAGCGGGAGCTCTAGCACGACAGTGACTACCACTGAAAGTTCCAGCACGACCGTTTCAAAAACATCTGAGAGTTCCACCACAAGTTTGAGTACAACCAGCGGGAGTTCCAGCACTACCGTGTCCACTACCTCTGCGAGCTCCAGTACGACGGTCTCAACGACAACAGGGAGTTCTACCACCACTGGGAGCACAACTACTGAGAGCTCTAGCTCGACTCGTTCGACGACCACTGCCACTTCCAGCACGACCAGGTCCACAACTTCTGAGAGTTCCAGCACTACGATATCCACGACCTCCGGGAGTTCCAGCACCACTGCATCAACAACGACTGCGAGTTCCAGCACTAGCGTGTCCAGAACCAGCACAACCGTGTCCACTACCTCTGAGAGCTCAAGCACTACGGTGTCGACGACGACTGCGAGTTCTTCCACCACAGCGAGTACAACGAGTGAAAGCTCTAGCTCGACTCGTTCGACGACCACTGACAGTTCCAGCACGACCAGGTCCACAACTTCTGAGAGTTCCAGCACTACGATATCCACGACTTCTGGGAGTTCCAGTACCACTGCATCAACAACGACTGCGAGTTCCAGCACTAGCGTGTCCACAACCAGTGAGAGCTCTAGCACTACCATGTCCACAACGTCCGTGAGTTCCAGCACGACGGTGACTTCCTCCACAAGTTTGAGTACAACCAGCGGGAGCTCCAGCACGACCGTGTCCACTACCACTGAGAGCTCAAGCACTACGGTGTCGACGACGACTGCGAGTTCTTCCACCACTGCGAGTACAACGAGTGAAAGCTCTAGCTCGACTCGTTCGACGACCACTGCCACTTCCAGCACGACCAGGTCCACAACTTCTGAGAGTTCTAGCACTACGATGTCCACGACCTCTGGGAGTTCCAGCACCACTGCATCAACAACGACTGCGAGTTCCAGCACTAGCGTGTCCACAACCAGTGAGAGCTCTAGCACTACCATGTCCACAACGTCCGTGAGTTCCAGCACGACGGTGACTTCCTCCACAAGTTTGAGTACAACCAGCGGGAGTTCCAGCACTACCGTGTCCACTACCTCTGCGAGCTCCAGTACGACGGTCTCAACGACGACAGGGAGCTCTTCCACCACTGCGAGTACAACGAGTGAAAGCTCTAGCTCGACTCGTTCGACGACCACTGCCACTTCCAGCACGACCGGGTCCACAACTTCTGAGAGTTCTAGCACTACGATGTCCACGACCTCTGGGAGTTCCAGCACCACTGCATCAACAACGACTGCGAGTTCCAGCACTAGCGTGTCCACAACCAGTGAGAGCTCTAGCACTACCATGTCCACAACGTCCGTGAGTTCCAGCACGACGGTGACTTCCTCCACAAGTTTGAGTACAACCAGCGGGAGTTCCAGCACTACCGTGTCCACTACCTCTGCGAGCTCCAGTACGACGGTCTCAACGACGACAGGGAGTTCTACCACCACTGGGAGCACAACTACTGAGAGCTCTAGCTCGACTCGTTCGTCGACCACTGCCACTTCCAGCACGACCAGGTCCACAACTTCTGAGAGTTCCAGCACTACGATATCCACGACCTCTGGGAGTTCCAGCATCACTGCAACAACAACGACTGCGAGTTCCAGCACTAGCGTGTCCACAACCAGCACAACCGTGTCCACTACCTCTGAGAGCTCAAGCACTACGGTGTCGACGACGACTGCGAGTTCTTCCACCACAGCGAGTACAACGAGTGAAAGCTCTAGCTCGACTCGTTCGACGACCACTGACAGTTCCAGCACGACCAGGTCCACAACTTCTGAGAGTTCCAGCACTACGATATCCACGACTTCTGGGAGTTCCAGTACCACTGCATCAACAACGACTGCGAGTTCCAGCACTAGCGTGTCCACAACCAGTGAGAGCTCTAGCACTACCATGTCCACAACGTCCGTGAGTTCCAGCACGACGGTGACTTCCTCCACAAGTTTGAGTACAACCAGCGGGAGCTCCAGCACGACCGTGTCCACTACCACTGAGAGCTCAAGCACTACGGTGTCGACGACGACTGCGAGTTCTTCCACCACTGCGAGTACAACGAGTGAAAGCTCTAGCTCGACTCGTTCGACGACCACTGCCACTTCCAGCACGACCAGGTCCACAACTTCTGAGAGTTCTAGCACTACGATGTCCACGACCTCTGGGAGTTCCAGCACCACTGCATCAACAACGACTGCGAGTTCCAGCACTAGCGTGTCCACAACCAGTGAGAGCTCTAGCACTACCATGTCCACAACTTCTGAGAGTTCCAGCACGACGGTGACTTCCTCCACAAGTTTGAGTACAACCAGCAGGAGCTCCAGCACGACCGTGTCCACTACCACTGAGAGCTCAAGCACTACGGTGTCGACGACGACTGCGAGTTCTTCCACCACTGCGAGTACAACGAGTGAAAGCTCTAGCTCGACTCGTTCGACGACCACTGCCAGTTCCAGCACGACCGGGTCCACAACTTCTGAGAGCTCTAGCACTACGATGTCCACGACCTCTGGGAGTTCCAGCACCACTGCATCAACATCGACTGCGAGTTCCAGCACTAGCGTGTCCACAACCAGTGAGAGCTCTAGCACTACCATGTCCACAACCTCCGTGAGTTCCAGCACGACGGTGACTTCCTCCACAAGTTTGAGTACAACCAGCGGGAGGCACTACCGTGTCCACTACCTCGGCAAGTTCCAGTACGACGGTCTCAACCGTGAGCTCTTCCACACTGCGAGTAGCTCTAGCTCGACTCGTTCGACGACCACCACTTCCACACGACCGGGTTCTGAGAGGACGATGTCCAACTTGCTCCACAAGTCCGTGCGAGTTCCAGCACGACTGCTCTATCTCGACTACGGTGTCGACGACGACTCGACTGCGAGTACACGAGTGAAAGCTCTAGCTCGACTCGTTCGACGACCACTGCCACTCTCCAGCACGACCGGGTCCACAACTTCTGAGAGTTCTAGCACTACGATGTCCACGACCTCTGGGAGTTCAGCACCACTGCATCAACAACGACTGCGAGTTCCAGCACTAGCGTGTCCACAACCAGTGAGAGCTCTAGCACTACCATGTCCTCAACGTCCGTGAGTTCCAGCACGACGGTGACTTCCTCCACAAGTTTGAGTACAACCAGCGGGAGCTCCAGCACTACCGTGTCCAGTACCACATCAACAGGATCCTCAACAACAGCTCACAGTACCACGGCGACCAGCAGCACCACGCTTACCCTGACCACCACCACGGGCAGCAGCACCACCGTGACCACCAGCAGCGCCACCAGCACCACCAGCGCGACTGCGTCCAGCAGCACCACGGGCAGCAGCACCACGGTCACTCCCAGGCGGTTCTCCCACGTCACGGCCACCGTGGGGCTCGCGCTGCCCGCCGCCGTCGATGCGGCACAGGCGAAGAGCATCGCTCAGTCCTCCGTGTCGTCGTTCCTGGGGGTCGCGGAGTCCCTCGTCAGCATCGACTCGGTTACCACGGCGCGCCGACTGACGCAGAGGGGGGGGGTGGCAGTGCAGCGTCGACTCAATTCGGTAGTGTACGACATCGAGTACCGTGTCGAGGTGGAGGGAACTGACACGAGTGCTGTGAGTGCAGCCTTGGACAGTTTGACGAATGACACCAGCCCTCTCGCCGCGGTAGTCCAGCAGACGATGAATGACCAAAGCGTGAGCGGGGCATTTCTGGTCGAATACGTGGGTGAGCCGGTCGAGGAACTGTGGATGTATACCACGGCAACCATGACGTCAACGATAAGCGTTACGTCAACTTCTGGCACGATGTCGGAGTCAAGCAGTACGTCTTCAAGCACTACTACACGAAAGATCTGCTACGCAGATTCGATACCTTACATGCCGAACGTGGCAGATAGTTCTTCGTGTGTCGGCATCTTCAGTGGCACGAGTTGTTCGCCAGTCTGCATCTCAGGGTACGAACTCGTCGCTCCGATCACTTGCACGGATACAAGTAACTCCAGTGATACATTCGGAGAGTTCGAATTCAACCCTGTGGTTTGCGTGCCCGAGGCGCACGTCGAGGCGCTCGACTCAGCAGATGTCTTGCTCGTGGAGGCCGCTCTCATCGAAAGCGAAGCCAATTCTAATCTCAGTGCCGACTGGGCCGCAGGCGCCGAAGTACAGGCTGCGATAATCAGCGCGTTCAGCACGGCCCTTGAACTGTACGAGGGCCAGGTCTACATAGCTTCGATTGCAGATCTGAACTCCGATTCAGAGTCTGGCATCCCAGCATCGAGGCGCATGACGACGGCGCAGGGGCTGTGGATGAGAGTGCTGATCCAGCTGTACCCCACAAACAGTGAGACAGACCTCAGGGCTAGCTTGGCCAACCTCGACACTATCTGCAGGGCTTCGCCGTCTGCTAGCCCGCCCCCCCTCGGACACTGCCTGCTCGGCTGGGTCGATTGGGTCGGTTGGTTGACTGACAATTTCTTTAAACAGGCCGACATCTCGGCAACTCGACCAGCTGGTCAGGACCACCGGGCACCCTCGGCTCCTCGGCTTCGAGATGGACCAGCACTGCAGGGCGTTCTGCGACCTAGAGCCGGACCTGCCCACAAGGTTGACGCCCAGAGCCCGGGCCTTCCGCGGGACCTCGCCACGGTGGCCTGGCCAGCTGGGGGGGCGGGCTTTGCCCCTGCGCTGGCGACGCGCTGGTTGGCTCGCTGTCTGCAAGGTCGGCTGACGGGTTGGTTGGCTATCTGGTTGGCTGAGAGGCTGGTTCGCAGGCTTGCTGGTTGCTTGGAAGGCCGACCGGGCGGCTGGTGGGCTCGGAACGCGGATCGATCACTTCTGGCGCGTTTCTTCTTGGCCTCGGAAGCGCAGATCCAGTTTTGTGCCAGTTTTCGTGGCCTCTCGAGCTCGGACCCATCGTTGTTTGCAGCGGGCCCATTGTTTCTTGTGATGGATATGGCTTTTCCAGTGCCAGCCAATGTTTTCCCTACGAGGCACAGTAGCTGTGGGATCGCGGATGTTTTTTGCGAGCGAAGGATCGTGGCTTCGGGAGCGCAGATCCGTAGTTTGTTTCAAAGGGGCAATGGCTTTGGGAGAGTGGGCCTATAATTTTCACGAGGCATCGTTGTTCTGGGTGCGTGGGCCCAGTGTTGCGCGGGCCCATTGTTTGTTTTACAAGGGGGCGTGGCGCCAGAAGCGCGGATCCATAGCTTTTGCCTGGTAGTTTCGCTTCGGCGGGGTGGCCTCATTTTGAACAGTTTTTTTGTTACAAGGGGTCGTGTCTTCGGGAGCGCGGGTCCGTTCGTTTTTGCTAGGGATCGTGGCCTCGGGCACCCCCTTGGGCACCCCCTGGGGTGGAAGGCACCCCCAGGCAGGTTCGACTTCCATCTGCCTGGTACGTGTCCTCAGCTCACCCAGGAGCTGAAGCAACGTCGCCGAGAGGTGGCGAAAGGGTCCATTTGGGCCGAGGGCGGTCGCAGGGCGGTCGCAGGCTCTCGCAGACCTCCGACGCCGACCTCCGGAGAGATGCCGCGCAGCTCCCGCGCTCCGAGAGAGCCGGCGGCTCGCAGACCTCGGGCCGCCACCACGCCGCACCACCTGCGGGCGGCAGCGTCCTGGGCTGCCCCACTGCGCGCAGCCGCCGAGACGGAAGCCACACAGGGAGGAGGAAGAGGAGGAGGAGGAGGAGGAGCAGCCCACCAAAGATCCAAGACCAGCCAGACAGTCGCCTGATGGCTCCCGCAGGAGGGGGCCGCGGATCTCCGAGGAGCTCACAGCTGCCCTGCAGAACTTTGGCATCGGCGTCCCGCCAGGTCTTGCCACAGCCTCGCTCGTCGTTGGCGTCCCTGCGTCCTCGACCGCCATCGCTCCCGTGGCGCGCTGGGTGGCCCGCACGCAGTGGTCACTGTGCAGCAACGTGTGCGGCGAGGGGCAGCGCATTCGCACGGTAGAGTGCCTGACCAACAGCACCGGCCTGTGCAACTCGAACGCCCCGCCGGATTACACCATGGAGTCGTTCATGCCCGAAACCATTGTTTGCCAGCAGTACACAGAATGCCCCTACGACTGGACGTGCCCCAGTGGCAAGGAGCCCGTCACAGGCGGCGGCTGCGAGGTACAAGCCAGCCTCGTGATATGTGCGATGGTCGTTTCTTTCTTCATAGTAAGTTGTTGTCTAATTCGGTATGTTCGCAGATTGAACGCGAGTAAGGCTCCCACAAAGGAGCAATCAACCACCAGACTGGATCCCATGAGCGACAAGGGTGCTGATATCGAATGGACGAGGGAAGAAGGAATCGTCGACAAGAAAGGCAAGCATAAAGCGACCGGCTGCGCCACTCTGACGCTGCAGTGCAGGACGGCTCGGGCGACTCTGACGCCGCAGGATTGCCCCCACACCCCCTATTTTCTGCTCCCCACCTTGTACTTCCTTCCCACCGCACCATGTTTCTGGCCCACCGCTCCATCATTTCTCGCCTCCCCACACCTTGTCCAGCTGCCTGTGGCAAGTCTCGCCACCGTGTCAGCCCAGCATTGGGTGGCGACTATTCGAGGAGGCACGGGAGGCCGTCACGGGTGACACCTCGTGTCCCCAGGCGTGGGAGGGCCGTGATGAGGATGAGGAGGGTTATGAAGATGATGGAGGGGGGTAGTGATCGGGACACTGGGGACGATGAGGAGATGAGGATGAGGATGCTGCAGATAAAGATGATGTTGCTGCTGACGATGACGATGCTGACGATGATGATTCTGATGATTCTGATGATGATGGCGATGATGATTATGACGACGATGACGATGACGATGATCGTGATCACGATGATTATGAGCTTGATGGTGATGATGATGGTGATGGTAGTTATGATGAGGATGATTATGGTGATGATGATGATAACGTGGATGAAGAAGATGATA